GCTTGAGGCTTAATTGCCTAAACCTGAAATCCCACATGGTTATGCCTCTGTTGATAGGGCTTGGTGGAAATGCAAAGAATAAGCAGAATAAGTACCCACACCATGTATCGGGTTCAAAAGTTTAGGGGTCTTAAAGGTTTATAAGCCCATGGAGATAAACCGTAAGGGCTTACGGCTTAGGCATTTGAATCTAAATCCCAAGCCCTTGTTTATGGTTTAAGGTTGAGGCATTACCTGTAGGATTAGAACCTTATAACCCTGTGTACGACACACCTTTACGTACTATTTGATGGTTCTGTTTCCCCAGTTAAAGCTTCAAGGATTTTAAAGAATTTACAAAGACCCGTCAATTTTTGAAAACCCTGTAAACTCCTTAAAACATTGAGAGGCCTCTGGCTTTCAACATTTTAAGGATGTTAAGGAATGTAAAAGGCCACTTAGATACTTTAGAATCCGTAAAATCTTGAAAAAATGAATTATTCTGGGAAATGCCCGGCCCTTTTGAATTTTCAAAAATCCGTGCATTCCTTCAAATCCTTGAAATTTTGAAACAAAATAGTTATTTTGGGAAACGGCCCGGCCCATTTAAATATTCTAATTATGGTTTCAGCACCTCTAGGGCTACAGCCTTCTAATCTTTAGAGCCCTCAAGGGTTTTAGGGTACTGACCCTCAAGGGTTTCGGGTAATGCTTAAAGCTTCGACCCTATAGGGCTAAACCCTATAGAGCTAACCCCGTCAGGGTATTAGAGATCATCTCCGAAAAACCCTAAGGCTTTGGATTGAACTTCAAAACTCGGGACCCTGGATTCAAGATCCCGGGGAAACTTTTCCCTGGAACCTTGAACCTTGAATCTGGAATCCCGGAGTATTGAAGTTCAATGCTCCGGATTGAAGTTCAATACTCTGGGATTCAAGATTCAAGATTCAAGGTTCCAGGGAAAAGTTTCCCCGGGATCTTGAATTCAATACCCCGGATTGAACTTCAATACTTCGGGACCCTGGATTCAAGATCCTGGGGAAACTTTTCCCGGGAACCTTGAATCTTGATTCTTGAATCCCGGAGTATTGAAGTTCAATCCGGAGCATTGAACTTCAATACTCCTTGTCCCTCATCGTGCTTGACCATTGAGGCCTTGAAATTTAAGTACTCTATGCACTCTAGAAACGTCTCTACTGGTGTAATATAAACATACAGATAATCAACCAGATAAAAATCCAGGAAGAAGGAAAATGTAATCAACACGCTGGGGCAAAGAAAACAAATTACGAACGAAAAAAGAAATACGCACTGCCAGAACAAGAAAAGCACAAAACAAGCAGAAAAGGTGTGGATAACTGGGGGCGGTACCATATATACATATACATATCAGTATATCTATATGTCTATATCCATGTCTGTATCTGTATCTGTATGTGTATCTATATCCATATCATTATCGATTATCGATTATCGATTATCGATTATCTATTATCTATTATCTATTATCTATTATCTACTATCTATTATCTATTATCTATTATCTATTATCTATTATCTATTATCTATTATCTATTATCTATTATCTATTATCTATTATCTATTATCTATTATCTATTATCCATTATCTATTATCTATTATCTATTATCTATTATCTATTATCTATTATCTATTATCTATTATCTATTATCTATTATCTATTATCTATTATCTATTATCTATATCCATATCTATATGTATGTATATATATGTTACAATCATCCCTATTTGCCCTTATAATAAGGAAGGAGTTGTTTTTTTGGCGGGGGGGCTCTTAAGCAAATATTAGAGTCTGACATGGCTCGGAGGTGTACTTCCGTTGCGGAGTCCCGCTGTGGGGTGTAAGACAGGTACCTGGAAAATGAACTAGATGATCCCCTGGTGGCCCCCATCTACCCCATCTAAACAATAAAATAGGTCCCTTTAGCCCCCATCCACCCCAAGTACCTGTTCTAAACAATAGTTTTTTTACCCACTCTATCCATTGGCCTCGCGAGCCTTTGGAATCTTGTCAAGAGGCGTAGAGCCGAACTACCGAATTAGGTCGAATTCAAATCTGATCTGCTTGGGTAGAACAATAAATCGGTCCCTTTACTCGCCTTTTGCAGGATCGGAGTCTCCAACCGCCGCGCTACCTCCGAATTCGTCCTTGGCTAGGATGATGCTGTGCACGTGTCCACGGTGTGGCAAAAAGTGGGAATTGGGAGTTGAGCGGCGGCCTCCCCCCATGAAGGCGCCCTAAACCCCTATAAGCCCCCAAGCGCCAAATCCATCCAGGGTTGTCTTCGTGTGTCCGCAAAGATCGCCTTCTCATCGAGCATGTGAGTTGAAGACAAGGGTCTTGGGGCCCCTCGCGACCCTTAACCCCTACTAACCCAGAAGCCTACAGGGTTCACGGTTTGCAGTCGGGATGTTCCCCCTTATACTAGCAGTCCTTAATAGCGCTTATAGTTCCCCCTATTGTATAATCCCCATTAAGGACTCTTATTATACGGCTCAACATCCCAAGGGTTAGAGCCCCAGAAGCCTTAGCCCAAGCCGCCCCCCACAAAGCTTTGCAGGCATCAACTGCTGCAGCAGCATCAAGTCGGACTTCCGCTGCGGAGAGTGCCTCTCAAAGAGTCTAGGGGGTTTAGGGGTTTGGGGGTCTAGGGTTTAGGGTTTGGGGTTTGGGGTTTAGGGTTTGGGGTTTGGGGTTTGGGGGTTTAGGGGTTTAGGGGTTGGGGTTTTTAGTCTAAGGCTGGAACCATGAGTTTGGGTCTAGGGGTGAGGGTTTAGGGTGTAGGGTTTCGGGATGAGGCTTTACAGTAGGATTTAGTGCAAGGTTGGAACCATGGGCCCTTAGCATGATCCCTTTGTAGGGATCCGAAGTATGGACCCTTCTTATATAGTGCATCCTTGTTATATAGTGCATATGGGGTTATATGACAAGAGATGCAAAGTAAGGGCCCATACTTGGAGGTTTGGGGAGCGTACAGTTCGAGGACTACTTAGTGCAAAACATTTTGATTCCTTCCTTCCCAGTTGAGAGTTGCGTTCGTGTGGGTTTCTGGATGGACGGGCATCTTGGGCATTTCCAACAAGAGGGGGGGGCAACCCCCGCTCCCCCTTCCCAAAAAACAAGTTTAACCCTATTTTGGGAACCGCCCCTTGTTGTGCTGCCTGGCCTAGTCAGGCGATGGGCATAAACACGGAACCAGTCGGTCAGCCATGGTGGCGTTTCAGAGCATCCCTACTTCAACCTAGACGAAAACCTTCCAGCTCCCGAAGCAGAAAAAAACCAAAAACTAAATCCCAAACCCCAAACCCTAACCCCCCCCCTGCAAAAAGCAAACAAAGACAACAATCAGTACAGCTTGGGATGTTCCCCTTATGTTAACAGTCCTGAATAGGAATGATGACAGGGGGTATGACAACCCCTTTATTAAGGACTGTTAGGAAAAGGGGGAACACCCCAAAGTACAGCACCAAAGGTACGACAACCCGGAGGCTCGAGCAGGCTTGCGACTGGTCGGCCGGGGGCCTCCTTCGTGCAGGGCTTCAGGGTTTAGAGGGTTAAGAGGGTCTAGGGCCAGAAATTCTAGAGATTCTAGAGGGGTTTGGGGTTTAGGGCTAGAGATTCTAGAGGGGTCTAGGGCTAGAAAATTCTTGAGGGATCTAGGGTTTGTTTCAGTTTAAGGCTAGAAATTCTAGAGGTTTGGGGGGGAGGGGGGGGGAGGTTGGGTCTTGGAGCTGTGGATTCTTACATCTGCCGTCTCTGGTAGGCTTTTCAAGCAAAAAACCAGAACCATTTCTAGCAGCCCGACTTAAAGGGTCGGTCGCTCTCAGGGTGTAGGGTTGCAGAGGGTTGTTACAAGTCAAGGTTGAGGTCAGGCTAAACATTTGCCAAATTTTGGGTGGGGTGGCGTCTCCAACGATGGAGTGTCCGGTTTATCTACAACCTACAGTGTGGGTTTGCCGTCCAGGCACGAACATCGTCTCAAAATTAACGTGGAGCTTCAGTTCCTGAACCTTGTCACCTTGGCACGAATGTAAACTGTGGATGAGCGTGGTCGTGCGAGAGACCTCTCCGCCGGGTACGGGCTCAAGCTCTGTCCTAGGTTGGACTTAGATGCCTGAAAAGTCAGAAATCTTGCATACAGTTCGGGGGTTCTAGGGAGTTCTAGGGAGCTGCTTCGAGGATCAGGCAGAAGGGTCTGCTAGCCTACAGAGGTTTCGGCTTTGCTTCCTTTCCTCCTTTCAAGCGCCGCGTCGCCGCGGCCTGGTTTCGAGAATGGCGCCTCGGCGTTGCACTTGGCACGTTGCTTCGGGTTTAGGGTTTAGGGTGTAGGGTGTAGGGTGTAGGGTGTAGGGTTTAGGGTTTAGGGTTTAGGGTTAGGGTGTAAGGCACTCAGGTCGGTCCTTCTTGTGCACAGGAACTGCTCAAAAAGCCCAATCCTGAAACCCCAAACCCTACAAACCCTATAAACCCTCTAAACCCTATAAACCCTAAACCCTATCAACCCTAAACCCTATAAACCCTATAAACTCTCTAAACCCTGTAAACCCTAAACCGTAAAGTCAGTTTCCGAAGCCCTCGAGGCTTCCTTCGACACGGAGATTTGGGGCAAGGCAGGCGCGGACTTGCTGACGCAAGCGAGCCGCGGCAGCGGTTTAGGGTTCAGCGTTTGGGGTTTAGGGTTCAGAGGTTCAGGGTTTAGGGTTTAGGGTTCAGGGTTTGGGGTTTAGGGTTCAGGGTTCAGGGTTCAGGGTGGTTCGATTCCTTGCATGGGGCGATTTCGGTTTGGGCTTTAGGGCTTCAGGACTTTCAGGAGTTCAGGATGCAGGGGTATAGGTGATTTAGGCCCAGGCACTGGGGCTTCTCCACCTTAATGACAACAGCAGTGCAGGTTGAGGGTTTCGAGCAAAGGCCCGGCGTAGCTCTGATGTCATCTCGAGTCGAGAGTCTCCTGCACCCAGGAATAATTTGGCGAAGGATGCCATGGGCAAGGCCTGCGCAAGCGCTTGATGGATGGAAACCTGGGCAGGGGCTCCAGGGCGAGGTCAAGCGTTTTCGGGCCTGCGGCTTTCTTTCTTCGGGTTTGGGCGACTCCCCACGCCTGAATCTGAAGGCCCAAACCTTAAGCCTTAAGCACCCCCACCGCCGTAAGTTTGGTTTCTAGGCTTCAGAAAGAACTAAACCTTAAAGCCCCGCAACCGTTGAACAACACTAAACCTGAAACAGCAAGACTAGAAATCATATCCAATGTAAAGCAAACCTGAAAAACAAACATGGCCACAACCACGAAGAATGTGCGGCTTTGGGCTTCCCGATATCGACAGGCAAGAACCTGCGGATGTGACTATGGTGATCATGGTGTGCATCTTCAGAAGCTTTCGGGTCGTACAGGAGCTGGAATAACTTTACACCCAAAGCACTGGACCCTAAACCCTAAACCCTAAACCCTAAACCCTAAACCCTAAACCCTAAACCCTTCAGCTCTTGAGCTCCAAGCCTCAGGGCAACGCCGGCGTGGGCGAGCTCAGCAACAAAGTCAAAGCAATGAGGTCGTCTGGGCCCACGCAGGCCGCCGGAGGGTTTAGAGAGTGAGGGTTTAGGCTTTGAGGTTTAGGGTTTAGGGTTTAGGGTTTAGGGTTTAGGGTTTAGGGTTTAGGGTTTAGGGTTTAGGGTTTAGGGTGTAGGCTTTAGGGCCGTCCATGAGGGTTGGGAACTTCGAGCTGCAGGTCCGATGGGATGAGTTGATGAGGGCTTTAGGCTCTGGGGTTTAGGGTTGAGGGTTTAGGGTTTAGGGTTTAGGGACACCACCGGCATCAAGGGCACAGGGGGTTTAGAGCGTATGGTTTGTGATGTAGGGGTTGGGAATGATGCATGGACGCACTGCTGCAGCTGTGTGCATCCAGAAGTTCGGATGTTTGGAGGTACCCCATGACAGAGCGAAGGGCGCCCTTCAATTTTCTTAGGTTGCCCAGAATGCGCTGGGCGATGGCAGCTTTTTTTGGGGTTCTCCAGGACCCAGAGTAGGCCCGTATTCCCTTTTTGTAGAGTTCAGGTTCCCTGAAAAGCCCCTTTGAACCAAAAAGAGCGCCCTTTTGAAAATAGGTGAGACTCAGGGGGTCACTCGAAACCCTAACCCCTAAACCCTAAACCCTAAACCCTAAACCCTAAACCCTAAACCATTAGACTCTTAAGCCCCAGGAGCAAGCGGCAACCATGATCGCGCTGGCTCGCGCCGAGCTCAAGGTTCGTGGGCCGAAAAGGTCAGGTTGTGGGTTTCTGCGGTTTTTGTTGCGGGAGTGGCGGTGAGTGCAATGGGTCTGGGGGAGGGAAGGATAGGGTTGGGGGGTGGGGGGGGGTCGGGTCGGTGGGAGCTTGGAGGGGTTTGCTTGCAGTTTCTGTGGCTAGGGAGGCGATTTTTTCCAGGCTTGGGCTGTTAGGGCTTACGGTCGCTGACAAGCGGCGCCCACGACCAGGAGGGGCAGTACGACGAGGCAACAGAAGTGGCGAAAGAAGCCCTCAGCCACTCTGTGCAGAGAGTTTAGGTTTGGGAATTTTGGTTGGGATGTTCCCCTTATGCTCACAGTCCTTTGTAGGGATTTATAGTACCCCCCTATTGTAATGCCTATTATGGTCTGTTAGTATCAGAGCGAACATCCCAAGATTTAGGGTTTACTTCGGGCATTGGGATTGAGGCTTGGGTACGTTGAGACTCGCGCGTGAGGTTTCCGTACATATAGGCTTGGACCTCACACACGTCCCTCACACAAGTCACCAAGCTTCCAGGGCCACGAGCAAAACGTGCCCGGCCCCAACTCCGCTCCAAGGCTTTCCCCAAAATCTGGGATGCCCTTTGTGAGGGGTCTGGTTCCCTTATCACCCTGATGAAACCCAGCAAAAGGGGGCACCTTCTGTTTATCTCTGCCAAGCTCCGAGAATAAGCTGCACCATCAAAGCATCCTGAAATGAGACTCGTGAAGCCCAAAGAGCTCGAAGCCTTCAAGCCTGAGCTCACCCCCAAGGCCCCAAAACCCTAAACACTCAACCCCCCCTCCCCCTGACTTTCAAAAAAGACCCTAAAGCGCCAAAACCCCCAAATCCTTAAACCCGAAAGCCTAAAACCATTTGAACCCCTGAACCCGAAAACCCTAAACCCTGAACCCTAAGCCCTAAACCTATCCCTAGACCCCTAAGCCCAAATCCCTAAACCCCGTAAGCCCTAAACCCTAAGCCCCCCAGCCATAAACCCTAAACCCCATAAGCCCTAAACCCTAAACCCCCGAGCCCTGAATCCTGAACCCCCCTAGCCCTGAACCCAAACCCCCGCTAGCCCTGAACCCTGAACCCCCCTAGCCCTAAACCCTAAACCCTAAACCCCCCCCCAAGCCTCCCATCCTCTAAGCCCGAAAGCCCAGGACTATTGCGGGATCTGGGCCGCGGCGTTTGCATTTTGGGTTTGAGGGTTTAGGGTTTAGGCTTTAGGGTTTTAGGGTTTAGGGTTTAGGGTCTAGAGGGTCACTGTTCTAGCATTCGTAATCATTAGGGGGTTCCAGGCTTAGAAAAAACCCACCCGCCCAAAGAGTCCCATAAGATTAAGCAAAAACAAGGCACTGGTCCAGATTGACCGAAAAGTCACGAACATTGGGGTCAGATTGACCGAAAAGTCACGAACATTGGAGTCAGATTGGCCGAAAAGTCACGAAGATTGGGGTCAGATTGGCCGAAAAGTCACGAACATTGGGGTCAGATTGGCGGAAAAGTCACGAACATTGGGATCAGATTGGCCGAAAAGTCACGAACATTGGGGTCAGATTGGCGGAAAAGTCACGAACATTGGGGTCAGATTGGCCGAAAAGTCACGAGCCTTGGGGTCAGATTGGCCGAAAAGTCACGAACATTGGGGTCAGATTGGCCGAAAAGTCACGAAGATTGGGGTCAGATATGGCCGAAAAGTCACGAACATTGGGGGGCAGATTGGCCGAAAAGTCCGAAGGTTTAAATAAATAAATAAATAAATAAATATATATATATATATATATATGTATATGAGAGAGAGAGAGGGTTTAGGGTTTAGGGCTAGGGGTTAGGGTTTACGGTTTCGGTTTTGATTTATTTTATTTATTTTTTTTTGGGGGGGGGAGGGGGGGGTTGGGGGGGGGGGGGGGGTTGGGCGTCTAGGGCGTTTTGAGTTTAGGGTTCAGGGCTGAGGGATTCGCCAGTTCAGGGATTCATCGCGGGGGTTTGGTTTAGGGGTTTCAGGGGTACGAGGCGGCTTCACATGTAATAACAGGGTTTAGGGTCTGGGGTTTAGGGTTTAGGTAGGGTTTGGGGATCATCTTCATTGCATGTGGTCACGCACGAGCTGCATTCGGGAGCCCTCAGCAGGCCAAGAGGCTACTCTGTTTGCAGTCTGAAATCTGATCTGGCCCCTGAACCCTAAACCCCGAAACCCGAAACACCCTAAACCCTAAACCCTAAACCCTAAACCCCAGGCCTCCAAATTGCACAAAAAGCAACCCTAAGACCCCAGCCCCCCAAACCACCTGACTAACTTGGTAGCCCAGTGGCACCCTTCCCCTTTTTTAGGCGTTCAAGGTTCCCTAGAAAAAGTAACCAAACCCAAATCAGGGTGCCCCAAACAGCTCCAAGAAGCAACCGCATGATTCAATGCGTCGACTTTACGAAGTCATGGGGGTTATGTCAGATCAGGGTTGGGCTCACGCTAACCCCTAACCCCTAACCGAACCTTTAGGGTTTGGGGTTTAGGATTCAGGCTTTAGGGTTTAGGGTTTACCCTCAACCCTAAACTCTAAACCCAGAACCCTTAAAGCCCTCATGCACTCTGAGCGCCAGAAGCCCAAGCAACTTTACACGCTGCGGCCAAGACGTTGTACGATGAAACGCTGATCCTTGAGCCTAAACCCTAAACTCCCTAGCCCTAAACCCTAAACGCCCTAGCCCTGAACCCTAAACCCTAAAGCCCTGCAACCCTATGCCGCTTTGGCGCCCAAGGTGTTGGAGCCCTCATCCAGCCTGGGGACTTCAAAGGCACTAGACCCTACCTAGACATTTACACCGGTTTAGGCTTTAGGGTTTAGGCTTTAAGGTTTAGGGTTTAGGGTTAGGGTTCAGGGTTTAGGGTTTAGGATTCTCTCAACCCCTGTTCTGCTGGGTTTCCGGGTGCTAGGGTTTTGGGTTTTGGGTTTGGGGTTTGGGGTTTGGGGGGCTTGCGGTTTGGGGTTTGAGGTTGAGGGTTTTAGATCCTACCAGGTACACTAGACCCCAAACCCTTCAGGAAAAAAGGGTATATAGGGAATCTCAAACCTTCCATGCAGGACCGGCCACACGGGTCCTTCCTTTGAACATCAAAAACCCTAAATCCTAAAGCCCCGAACTCAATCCTAAACCCTTGAAGCCTAAATCCTCAACTCTGACTAAACCCTGGAACCCTAACCCTAGACTCTGACTAAACCCTTGACCCAAGACCCCTTATTCGAAACCCTAAACCCTAAACCCTAAACCCTAAACCCTAAACCCTAAACCCTAAACCCTAAACCCTAAACCCTAAACCCTAAACCCTAAACTCTGACTCAACCCTGTAGCAGGCCAAGCGGCAAAGCCCAAGATGCTGACGCCGCAGGTTCCCATGCTGGAGGGAGGTTATGGGTTCTGAGGCTTTGAGGCTTTTGGTTGAGGGTTGAGGGTTGAGGGTTCAGGGTTCAGGATAGCAGGTTTAGGGTTCTCGGGTTCTAGGGGCTTAGGGTTTAGGATTGAAGGTTGAAGGTGTATGGTGGACAGGGTTGAGGGGGGCCCTTGTGGGGCTGAGGGCAGTCCCCTATTCTCACAGGGTCCCTACACCCTCAACCCACGAGCCCCCAAGCCTCAACCATGTAAAAAACCCGAAGCCCTAAACCCTAAACCCTAATCCTAAACCCTTAACCCTCAACCCTAAACCCTAAACCCTAAACCCTAAACCCTAGGCAGCCCCGACAGGGGTGAGCATCCTCCACAGAGAGAAGCTCGAATCCTACGTCAATCCCAAAATTCAAAAGCGCATCGTCCCAAAACCCTAACAACTCCCCCCCCCCCCCCCGGTGGAGGTTTACCAAAAATGGGACCCCTAATATAGACCCAAAGAGTAGGATCCCCTTCTAGTAAGGACCCCAATAAGGTCCCCCCCCCCAATATCGTCAACCCCCCATGTTTGTTCGCTTCACCGACCCGAGGCTGTTGGGACCTTTTGGGTGGTCGGGGTGTCGCGGTTCTCTTCCGGGTCTCAGGTCTTAAGAGTTGGACTGGTCTTGATGCAGTCCAGTCGGGCACGAGCTCAGCTATTTGAGTTCGTCCACTAGCTGCAAAAAATTTGAAGCTTCTTGTCCATATGACGTCCAGGTGCTGCTGGAATTACTCAACCCTAAACCCTAAACCCCTAAACCCTAAACACTGCGTTTTCTTCTGCACTGTGGTCTCGGAACCCTGTCCAGCATCCTAGTTTTCAAGCCTCATGCCTGCACGTCCCGCAGGAGGCGCGCGACCGCGAACGCAACCTCCGCCCTGTGCGGGAAAAGATGCCGCTTGCCGGCATCTACATGTGATAGATGGGGTTTAGGGTTTAGGGTTTGGGGTTTAGGGTTTAGGTTTTAGAGACATATGGAGTAATTCAGTATGCAAGCATGATTCGCCTCGAGGTCTTCGCATATGCGTACACACTAGGGTTTTTATGAGGGCTCAAGGCTTACAGGCTGGCTTGGCCGAGCGACCCGGACAAAGCCTTCAAGTTTCGTCCTTAAACCCGGAATCCCAAATAAACCCTTCAAACCCTAAACCCTAAGCCCTCAGCCCTAAGCCCTAAACCCTAAACCCTAAGCCCTAAGCCCTAAACCCCAAACACTAAACCCAACCCTCAAGCCCTACACCTTTCATCTCACGAGGCTCCTCTTCCGGGAGATTGGCGTCCCAGAGGAGGAAATCCAAGCTATGATCGAGGCCATGCAGGCCCTGGGGGCGATCTTAGGGTTGAGGGCATAGGGCTTAGGGTTTAGGGGTTTAGGGTTTAGGGTTTAGGGTTTAGGGTTCGAGCTTCGAGCTCTGCACTCTGCTTTCGAAGCTTCGAGTCCCAGAACCTGTGGCAGGCTGGGCCATATGAGGGCGACACGGACCTGGTGAAGGCAGCCGAGGCGCGAAACGCGCACACGCCTTAAGGGCTTGGTAGGACCGGGGCTGTCGGGAATCTTCATCCCCACAAATCGGGCTTTAAAGGTCTCAGCCGTTGTTGCGTGTGTCTTGGGCATTTGGGGTTTTTACTGGGGGCGTTGAAGGGGTTCTTGTGGGTTCAGAGTTTAGGATATTCGGGGTTTACAGTGTTTGCAAGCTCGGGGGTTTCGAAGCAATCGCGGAGTGTGCAGAGAGTCCCTGAGGGTTGTTTTCTTGCCTCCCTGATTCTTTCTTTTCTCCTATGACGAAAGCGCTTAAACCCTACATCCTTTACATCCTAATCCCTAAAGCCCTAGACCCTGAACCCTGAAACTTCAACAGAAGCTCGAGCCCTTGCGGGCCCAAAGGGTTCTTCATCTGAGGGGCTTCGGTTTCGAGACAGCGGATGGCCTTTTCGATTTGGGGTTTAGGGTTTAGGATTTAGGGTTTAGGGTTTAGGGTTAATCAAACCTTCGAGTTTGGGAGTTAGGGTTTAGGGCTCATCAAACCTTCGAGCTAAGCCTGCAAACCTAGGCTCAGTATGAACCCAAAGGTTACGCCCTTTGACCCTGAGCTTGGGAACATGTGGGCATCACCGCCAATCGGGGTACCCTCTAAGTAAGCATATACTGCAACAGAGTAGAATCTCTGTTTAAGGACCCTAAAATAGGTACCCTAAGGGCCTTTAAACCCTAAACCCTAAGCCCTCACACGTTGAGATGAAGCTGCGATGTTCAATCCATCCAGGCTTCGTGTCCGGATGTGGGATTGCGGCTACTGATGTCCCAAGCTGAAAGGACTGTTGAGCTAGGGGTTAGAGCTAGGGGCTTAAGTGTTTATGGTTTGGTGGTCGGCTAGGAGTCTTTTGGGTTTGGGGTACACGCTGCAGCACCCCCCCCCCCCCCCCCCCCCCCCCCGGCCCCTGGATGTTCAATTCAGGTTTTTCCCGGCGCAGCTCTCAGGGGCCCTAAACCCTAAACCCTAAACCCTAAACTCCTTTCCAAGATTGAACCGCAGAGGCGCACTGCCAGCACGGCCACTACTCCAAAGCACTCGAGGCCCGCCGTCGGAGGACTTTACAGTATAGGGTTTATAGTAGGGCTTATAGGGTTTCAACAGTTTTTTTTTTTACATTTTACAGGGTTTATAGTCGGGTTTATAGCAGGGTTTATCGGGTTTTATAGGGTTTATAGTAGGGTCTCTATAGGGTTTATAGGGTTTATGCAAGGCTTTTTATAGGGCTTATAGGGTTTATAGGGTTTATACAGGGGTGTTATTGGGTTTATAGGGGGTTTATAGAAGGGGTTTATGGGGTTTATGCAGGGCTTTTATAGGGTTTGTCGGGGTTGCTTGGTTTACATAATGTTATTTTGGGCTCAATGGTTTATAGGGTTTAGTGTCATAGGCTTTTAGGCGGTGTATGGGGCGTTTAGGTTTAGGGTTTGCGGGTTTCGGGCCTAGGAGACGAGGGGACTTGGGGAGTTGCGACTTAAGCCCCAATCGCTTCCCCCTATTACTAAAACCCCCCCCCCCTAACTTTAGATATTATTTTTTCCCGGGCCCTGCCGGCACCCAGCCCAATACTAAACCTGTTGGGATTTAGGGGGGGAGGGGTTCAGGGCCTTCGCCCTTGAGTTGAGCCATTAGGGGTTTCGGAATTCAGGTTTTAGGATTTAGACCCCCCCCCCCCCCCCTAATTTTAAATATTTTTCGGGCCCAGGCGAATTTCAGAATTAGGGAGGGGGGGGGCGGGGGGGGGGAGGGTTTTAGTATTAGGGGGAAGGGATTAGACACTAAGCCCTAAACCCGGACCCTAAACCCGAAACCCTAAACCCGAAACCCTAAACCCTAAACCCTGAACCCTGAACCCTGAACCCTGAACCCTAACGACCTAAACCCTAAAACCTTGCGTGTGGTCAGGGTGACTTGGGACTTCCACCTGTGTCACCTCCACACAGCCACACCAAGCCCTAAACCCTGAACCCTAAACCCTAAACTCTGAACGACCTGGTTGCAGCTCTACCCCGTCTCGTCGCCCTGGAGATGGCCATTGATGCTGGCGCCGCGGCTGTACCGAGGGATGGAGTGGTGGATGGATGGAGGGAGACTCCTGCGACTTCTGTGGGACGCCCTAAACCCTAAACCCTAAACCCTCAACCCTAAACCCCTCTCCGAGCTTCAGCCATCGCTTTAACCCACTGCGCGTGCGGATCCTGCTTTCCTCCACCCTGCCGGTGGTCCACGTGGCGCGGGCAAGAAGGTCTGCATGGGACGGCTGAAGCAGCCTGCACTCTCGGAGAGGGTTTAGGGTTTAGGGCTTAGGGCTTGGGGTTTAGGGTTTAGATTTAGGGTTTAGGGTTTAGGGCTACAACCAACCCTGCACCCTAGGCTCACGAACTCCTGTCAAGGCGGCAACAAAGGCAGTCGACAGCTTCAAAGCCGCCAGCGACAAAGCAGGCGGGGTTTCGAGAAGGTTCCCTAGCCCTCAATCCTAAACCCTAAAACCCTAAAACCCTAAACCCTAAATCCTAAACCCTAAACCCTAAACCCTAAACCCTAAAGCTTAAAGCCCTAAACCCTAAACCTGTAACTTGAAGTTATTCAAAGTTGAAGATGAGTTTTCCTCGAAACCTTTCTTGGAAACTTTCCGGGAAGCTTTCCTCAAAACTCACCTCCAAACTTTCCTGGACCCAAAGCCGTAATCATACCAACGACCCCAAAAGCCCTGACCCCTAAACCCTTAGAAACTTCAATGAACCCTAAGCCCTTAACCCTAAACCCTAAACCCCAAACCCCAAACCCTAAACCCTAAACCCTAAACCCTAAACCCTAAACCTCCCGGGGATGGGCTAAGGGTTGAGTGTTTCGGGCTTCGGGCGTGCGGCTTTTGGGGGGGGCTTCTGGGAGTTTCCCAGCTGACTTATAAAAAGCTTTCGACTTCTGGGGCCTCCAGACTATGAATGAGTGGTACCTCCTCATGGCCTGTAACCCTAAACCCTACACCCTAAACCCTAAACCCTAAACCTTGTTTTGAAGAAAGCCAGTACCCCATGGAACCCCAAAACGAAGATCTGAAGCCCCGAAGACAGAGCCGAAGCTACGCCGCACCCACGCGCTAATGCCATCTACTCTCGCACTGATGGCTATAGAGCCCTAAACCCTAAACCCTAAACCCTAAACCCTAAACCCTAAACCCTAAACCCTAAACCCTAAACCCTGCTAGCCTTCAATGCTGCACGGTTTTGAGGCTTGGGGCTTCCAGGGTTCAACAGGGGTTCCGAAGTCATTCCTGTCCTCAGCCATCCGAGTGGCTTGGCAGTGGGCAGAAACGGCACGGGAGAGCGACCAATACTCGTGAGAATAATCAGAACTCATACTATATCATTAACAGTATGTTAGGAAGCTCGTCATCTATGGTAAGAATTCACATGCGAATTCACAGAAAGAGCACAAGCTCGAAGAGAGAATGTGATGAGTTTTGTTGCTTAGGTGGCAGAGATGAACCAAACCCTAGGTCTGGGCCGGAACTGAAGACCCCCTAGGCTTGAAGCCCTGAAATGCCCAGGGCATCCTTGAGCTATTTGTCCCAGTAAGGGCTCCGGATGATTAAGAAGTATGGTTTCAGGCTGGTTTTGGGGTTCTTGAGTCCACGAGCTTTGAGAAGAGGAAGGCTATTCAGCTAGGAGTGATACGGGGTGACGACGCCGGGCAGTATTGTTACAGTGCTTGGTACTTCGCCAATGATCCGTTCCGCGATTACCTTAGGAGCTGAGCCGGCCGTGGGATACAATTGTTTGAACCCGAAACCCTAAACCCTAAACCCTAAACCCTCAGCCCTATACCCCATACTCGCAAAGCCATGGACAACCTCTCCATCCACCGTGTTTCTGGGGACCAAGTGGCGGTACTGGACACAGAGAGCCTACAGGGCATCCGAGCAGCTGGGACCGTTTCAAAATTTTCCGGATTCCTAAACCCTAAACCCCAAAACCCTAAACCCTAAACCCTAAACCCTAAGCCCTAAACCCTAAACCCTAAACCCTACTCACTCAAAATCTGTTCCAGATCGCCCCAAGGAGCTCTATGGCCACTCGATTCGCGGCCTCAAGCTCTACCTGCAACAGCAGCTTGGTGTTCCCAGATACCAGCTTCGGCTCACCTGGAGCGATAAGATCCTCTGCGACGCGGAGGCCCTACCACCCGGAGCTTCGCTGTCACTGCAGGTGGTCTTCGTGGGCTTCTGCTCCACCGAGAAGCAGGACCTCAAGCGCTTAGTCCTGGCGGCGGAGCGTGGGAAGGAAGAGGAGATGGAGGCCCTTCTCCAGTGGCCCATGGATCCCAACAGCATCCTGGCGGGTAGCAAGATGCCCCTGCACCTGGCCTGCAAGAAAGGCCACGCTGAGGTGGCCCGGCTGCTTCTTGAAGCAAAAGCTGACAAGGACAAGGCCAACAAAGAAGGGGCCACGCCCCTGTGGCTTGGCGTGGCCGGTGCGTCCCTTTTTGTTCCCTTTTTGTGGGGTTCAAGGGGTGCTTTTATAAACGAGCCGACCCAAAAAAGGGTGCCCTTATTGTCAGGTTTGGGGTTTAGGGGTTTGGGGTTTAGGGTTTAGGGTTCAGGGTTTAGGGTTAGGGTTTAGGGTTTAGGGTTTAGGGTTTAGGGTTTAGGGTTTAGGGTTGAGGGTTTAGGGTTTAGGGTTTAGGGTTGAGGTTGGGCTACCCAGGTGGCTTGCTGCCGAGAGTGGCCACCTGGAAGTGGCACGGCTTCTCCTGGAGCACGGGGCGGACAAAGACCACGCCAATCTTGAGGGCGCCTCGCCTCTGTGGGTCGCCGCCAGCAAGTCCCACACGACCATCGCCCCTGGATTGTGATAGACACCCCTAAACTCCCTGCTCCCTAAACTCCTCCCTTAAACTGCCCCGAAAACTCCCCTGTAAACTCGGTGAGGTGAAGGCCCTCCCTGAAGAAACCTGACAAAGGCTCCCATAAGCCCAAGCCCTAAACCCTAAACCCTAAACCTTAAACCCTAAACCCTAAACCCTAAACCCCCAAAAGCCCAAGCCCAGGCACGGCTTCTGCTGGAGAAGGGGGCCGACAAAGACAAGCGGGCGGCCGACGGCGCCTCACCCCTCTGGGTGGCTGCCACTGGGCTTGGGCTTTCAGGGGCGCGTGCATGTTTTCTTCAAAGGTTTGGGGTTTAGGGTTCAGCGTTTAGGGTTTATAGACATTGTATATTGGGTCCTAACAAGTTTTGAGCGAAAGTTTTTTTTACATATTAGGTTTTAGGGGTCGGCGTGCGGGGGGGGGGGGGGGGGTGGATGGAGGATGGCGTGATTTAGTATTCGGGGGAGGCCCGGCTTCGTAATTTAGTCTTCGGGGGAGGTGTTTTGGGTTAATTTACTTAAACTCGGCACGTCAGCAGTTTGGGAAATTCCGAGTGATATCACATACAGTTTCTATTTATTTTGTCTTGAGGGTTTAGGGTTTAGAGTTTTAGGGTTTAGGGTTTAGGGTTTAGGGCTTGGGGAGCTGCATTGCTTGTCTCCAGCCAGGCTAGCGGCTTCCACTGGGGCGTCGTGCGCCTTCTGCTGGCGGCAAGCGCCGACAAGGACGTGACAAACTCTCGCGGGGTCTCCCCGTCGTCTGGCGATTCTTAGAGGGTTTTTTTTTTTTTTTTGGGGGGGGGGGGGGGGAGTTTGGGAGGATTTAGGAGGGTTTGGGGTGATTTGGGGGGGTTTGGGGGTTTGGGGGGGGTTTAGGGGGTTAGGGGGTGGATAGAGGGGTTTGGGTGGACTTAGGGGTTGTAGGCTCTGAGGTCTAGGGTGAGCTCTTGACTGTGTTATATCTGACCAGCGCTTGCCTAAACCCCCCAAACACTACGCCCGAAGGCCCTAAACCTCTAGATCCTAAACCCCCCCAATCCCTTAAATTGCCCCTAAACCCTGAACCCCCAAACCCTGAACCCTAAAATTACCCCTAAACCCTTACCCCTAAACCCCTAAACTCCTCAACCCCTAAACCCCTAAACCCGACCTAAACTAAACCCTACCTAAACTCCTCAACCCCCAAACCCCTAGACCCTACCTAAACCCTACCTAAACCCTACCTAAACCCTACCTAAACCCTACCTAAACCCTACCCAAACCCTACCTAAACCCCTAAACCCCCAAAAGGCTATGGGTGGCCGCCGCCCAGAACCATCTGGTGCTGGTGCGGTGGCTGCTCCGAGCAGGGGCAATGAAGGAGCCTTCCGTGGGTTGAGAGGGGTTTTAGGCGTTTTGAGGGTCTTGGGATTTTGGGGATTTTAGGGGATTTTGGTTTAAGGGTTTAGGGGTTTTTGGTTTAGGGCTGAGGGGTTTAGTGTTTAGGGGGTTTGGTAGTATAGCGCTTGGGTCTGGGGGTTTCGGGGCTTCGGGTTTAGGGTTTGTTTGGTTTGGGCCTAGGGTTTGGGACGCATGCCAAGCTCCAACCCAAGCATCTTCCCCCAAATCCAAAACCCAAAAAGCCCAAAACGCCCAAAACTCAATCCTTAACCCCTCAACCCTCAACCCTAAGCCTAAACAGAAGGTTCCCAGTAGGAACCACGAGGTGCTATTCGAGGAGGTCTAGGGACAAGGGTTTAGGGTTCGGGGTTTAGGGTTTAGGCTTTAGGGTTTAGGTTAATTTAATTTTTATTTAACTTATGTTGATTTAATTCAGTTTAATTTAACTTAATTGAATGTCGTGCTTTATAATTTAGTTCCATATAATATAGTACAATTTTCAAAATAATGCAACATATACTAGTACTATATTATTCAACAGATTATACATATGTATATATATGTACAGAGAGAGAGATATATATATATATATATTTATTTATATGTGTGCGTGTGTGTACATATTACTATACTACTTTTGCCCTTGAAACTTCAGCTCAAATAGCCCGACATCCTGAAGTACCTCCCAAGCGCTAGACCGCGACTCCCAAAGCCTACATTGGGCCTACATCCCCAAGCGCCCTCAAGCTGGAAAGAGGACGTGGCGGACAAGCACGGCACGACTCCACTCTGGGCAGCGGCAGCAGACGGTCTCGTGGCGATGACTAGGGCGGCTTAGGGTTTAGGAGTTTGCGGTTTAAGGTTTAGGATTTAGGAGGTTGGGGTTTAGGGTTTATGGTTTCGCTGGGGGGGGGGGGGGGATGGGGTAGAAACTGATTTGAGGCTGAGGGGGCTTTGGGGTTTGGGGCGCAGGGGCCACATGCTTTAGTTGTGTATATTTGTTCGTGCTGCTGCCGCCGTGTGTTCGGGTTACTGGAGGGTGGTTTTGATTTCAAGGTGGCCATTTACATGGACTCACTTTGAGCACATGGCCGAACCCTTTATCCAACTGTTGGTTGACTTCCTGGTCATCCGTAGAGAATGACGGAAAATTGGAGATTAGTAACTTTCTGGCGTAGTGCAGTGCTGCTATAATCCGGGCACGCAAGGCCTTGGACCTTGGCTGTTGAGTAGTTGTAAACGGTGCATGTGACCGCCTTAGCCCGGCATGGTGGAGGGGCTGGAAGGCTACGCTGCTGACTGTAGAAGCCCGAAACCCTAACCCTAAACCCATCAATCCTGGGCTCCCGCAAGGTAGAATGCTGGTGTTCAGGGGGTAGAGGTGGTTACTGTCCCCCTCCAGCAACACCCGCTGGCGCACATGCAACCTTGGTGTGTGCACCCTCAACCCCTAAACCCCAAACCCTAAACCCTAAACCCTAAACCCAGTTTAGCCAGAGGTCACCTTGGAGCGGTGCGGTTGCTGCTGAGCTCTGGCGCCGACAAAGAAGCGGTGGACAACGGCCGGGGGGGGGGGGGGAGTTCAACGAGTTCTGAGAGTGCGTGGCAGGTTCAGGGTTCAGGGTTGTAGGTTTCGTTTTAGGGTTTAGGGGTTCGCGTTCAGGGTTTGTTTGGGGTTCAGGGTTTAGGGTTCAGGGTTTAGGGTTTAGGGTTCAGGGTTTAGGGTTTCGGGCAGCCGGAATGTGATTTTCCCAGTCTTGGCGGCGGCGTGCGTTCTGGGGTTCAGCTTCGAGGCTGAGGGGGCCCTAGGGGGCGCTAGGGGCTTAGAGTTGAGGATGCTTAGGATGCTTAGGGTTTAGGGTTTAGGGTGTAGGGTTTCGGGTTTAGGGTTTAGGGTTTAGGGTTTAGGGTTTAGGCCCACCCAAAGGCTTCATCCCTAAACCTCCAAGAATCTAAGGGACCTAGAGTAGTAGTTGGGGGGGAGACTTGGGGACTCCCTATGATGATTTGAGGCCCTTCCTAAAATCTGAAACCACCAACCCTAAACCCTGTAGAGCTATGAGGGTTTTTCCTAGGTAGGATAAGGGGGACCCTTAA